TAATTCGATTTGTAGAAATCCTGTACACCAGTTGGCCATCTGGAAGAAAAGATATTCCGAGCGAGGACGTCTGTACTGTCGTTTAAAAATCTTATATTTTACCCACTTGTTACTGTGTCTCCTAACCCCTTAAACGGCACTGGTTACCGTGCCGTCCCAGTTTATTGTACCCTACTTAGTACCGTCTACTGTTGTTACCGTCGAAGGACCACCCGACGTATTGGTTGGGAACGAAGTAACACACTTTGTGCTTAAATATGTTTCTTTTGTATAATTAATTATAAATATAGACTTCAATTCTAGCCTACTTTGCTCGGACCAGTGACTACTTACATACTTACATAAGTACATACTGTCGAGCTTTCTAACTATGACTCCTTCCAAGACGCCCCTTCCTTCTTCTCTCTGCACGCTGATTGGGTAATTTGGAAAATCACAAAAACCCAATCAGCATGCTTTCAGTGACATCACAACACCCTTCTCTTGCGCCCTCAACGCGCATTACCTTAGAGAGGGGATGGCGCTGTCCTGAGCGACGATGAGTGGCGATTGGCGTTGTCTGGCAACAGTCTCCTGACCGGATTCAGGACGAGAGAAGTGAGTTTAGAAAACACTAGAGTTGTCTTGAGACGATTGTCTTGGCTAACAATAACCAAAATGCTAATCTCGAAAACAGCCTCTATCTCACGTCCGTGACATAAATCGCCAATCGCCTCAGACAGTCCACATTGTCCGTAGAGCTTACATTCGACTGGTAATGTGTACAGATATTTCATGTATTTTTCTGGCAATCCGTTTTTCGAATTCGTCCAAAGCGAAATATGTCGCGTTTGATCTCATTTTAATCAGAAAAATCTCACCGATATGTTGAACAAATTTTCAGATGGAAACAAGTTATATTATTCTATTACGGACTGTCGAGCCGTGAAATCTCGTCGGAAGATCCACTGACTGCGAGCAAGATAACGTAGGCGTAGGAATAACGCAGCCTAGCCGTAGGACACGGTGAAAATCCAAACTGGTATGCGGTGTTCTATTTTGTTTAATTGTTCTATACCGATATATTAGGTATCTGTTATTGCAAATCACGTTGCAGATTTAAGTGTTAGCCTTCGATTCTCATTTTGTAAATACCCGATAACCAATAACTTCTTCTTAGAAGACTTCTTTCCTTACTATTTATCCTTCCCTGACTAACTCAATCTCACTCTCGAACTCTGCCCTTGATATACCAAACCCTACTTACTTACTGTAAGTACTTTGTCAACGTGTCTCCGTTCCGTGATACTACTTGGCACTACCGGCCAAAAGTTTCGAATCACTTGCCGATTTCCATCAAAATCGAATATACCGGTAAATTTTGGAATGATCCATCGTTAATATATCAGATGTTAACAAGTTGAATTATACTTTAAGAGATTTCAGCATTTTCTTATGTCCATAATGCTATTATACATACATATAACTCATACACTCATTGTCAGTTTAAAGAAACGCTCGGAATGAACTTTTCTACTGCCGGGAAAGATACTCTGTTTACGCCTTATATAGGAATTCGCGATTCTTTTGTTTACCAATAAGCGTCGAATGTTACAGTATTAGATTCCAATTGGCCGCTCCGGCCATTATACATTGCCACCATTCTTGTGAACGAAGGCGTTGAATTAGCAGCTAAAATTTTACATTAATACTTTAAAATGGCAAAAAGAGTAGAAATTATTATTGAAACTCCAAACGCAATTATCACACTTAGAAAGGAAGGTTATTCTTTGCGGAATATTCCAAAGAAATTGATACAAGGGCGTGCTGGGTATACGAAAACGTTTTGCGGATACTGGTAGTTTGAAAGACAAACCACGATCAGGAAAACCCAAAATCACGTCGAGAGCTGAAGATGTAAGAATAAATATTATTTGCAAACGAAACAGAGGACTAACGGCCTCGGAAATTCGTGTAGGACTTAATGATAGTAGACCGAATCCAATATCTCTGACGACGGTGAAAAGGCGACTAACAGCTGCAGGTTTAAATGGCCGTATAGCAGTCAGGAAACCATTGCTTTCGTCGAAAAATCGTAAAATGCGGTTGGATTGGGCAAAAGTCACAAAAATTGGGCACCTACGGACTGGGGTAAGGTTCTTTCGACTGACGAATCCAAGTTGGAAATATTTGGGTCGCACCGAAGGATATTTGTTCGCCGATATGTACAAGAAAAAATATTGCCAGAGGTGGTTCAGTTATGGTCACGGGATGTTTCTCAACGGTTCGAGTAGGAGACCTAATCAAAATAGAAAATACACTCTACCATCAGGTCACCGGTTAATAGGTAGAAATTTTGTTATGCAGCAAGTTAACGACCCTAAGCACTCATCTAAATTGTGTAAAGGGTTCTTATTGCAAAAAGAAACAGAGCGGGTCTTGAGGAATATGACATGGCCAGCACGATCACCGGATTTCAACCCGATAGAATTTTTGTGGGAAGAGCTCGATCTGAATCTGATCCGGTTGCACTGTCCAACATCGAAAGGACACCTTTGGCAACTACTACAGGAAGCATGGAAAAATTTTAAGTTAGCAATACTCGAAAAACTAATTGCCAGGATGCCCAGAATATGTCAGGCTGTCATTAGAAGTAAGAGTGGTTTTTTTCATGAAAAGGCAATTTCAAGAAAAATATCTATTTCTTGGTATAAAAAATAATATAAAATGTAAAATATTCTACTTATAAGTATGTTGACAAATAAAACTTCCTCGAAATATGTATCCTGTTTCTCTTAATTTACGTAGTGATTCGAAACTTTTGACCGGTAGTGTACGGAAGTTTGGCCGGAATACAACAAAATGTTCGCCTGTCCATAAATTTTCTTATTTTCTTTTTCAATGTTGAGCAGCTCATTTTACAGATGAAAGTTCAACTATTCCAATGGTATTTTTTTTTCTTTTTTCTTGTTCATGGGTGGGAACACCGTGAAATCAGCAGTTGAAACTTTAGCAACGATTATTTTTACGTTTGCTGATAATAAATAAAATTCATGTACATATTCCAAAAGATCGTTTTTTTAAACCAAGCCGAAATATTACAGTTCAAGTGGTGACATGTTGCCTGATTTCGTCTAATTTTCCAAAACTTTAACGTTAAATAGTTTAAAAACCGTTCGAGGTAGAAAGGTGAAATTTTGCACAGTTTAGGTTCTCAAGGGTATCGACAAATCCTGTGAGTTTGAAAAAAAATCGGTCATTGACGTGGAATGGCTCGTATACGTTCTTACAATTTTACCACCATTTTGCGGTAGTGACCTAGGACGAGGTTGCGTCGCCATTTGCTTCTTCACATTCAACAACGCATTTGCTTCAAATTCTGGCATTCTGCCAACTACGGAAAAATAGGTTATCGATCAATCGCTCCAACTTCCTACTGCTTGTAATCTCCCGAACGACGAAACCTCTGTCTTCTCTATCTCCCGTTCCTTTCTTTCCTTCCGCCGTTCAACCTTCTTAAATATCCCCATAATGTACTGTGCGTCCACGAGAAAATAGATTTGCATGGCAAAGGAATGCGAGTCTGATTGGATCATACCCCCGATAAGCCCACCTTTTCTTCACCCAATCATAGAAATCGGGCACACCTATTGTCATTAGTGGCCGAACGCGATAACATCGGCGAATCTGGATCGTATAACACTGATTGTGAGTGGCGGAAAACTCGGGCGGTGCGAGTCAGGTATCCCCGTTTCACCTCTGCCGTCACGCATGCCAACTTCTCGTGGACGCACAGTACTTTTCTCACAGTCGACCCCACTCATTGGCTATTTTCTTGCAAATTTTACGAAAAATTATCCATGATGTAAGGCGCCGTGCGACGCGCCTAGGCAACGGCCGCGGGACCCGAGCCGTAGGGGGCCCTAGACAAGGAGCAGCGCAGACTGCACCCCCCACCCCACGGCTTGCAGGTCCCTAACGGCCAAAGAAGCGTATAAAAACGGGAAAAAGGGCAGCGGCCTACACATTATCGTACCTAGCTATCGACCAGAGAACCAACGTCATTTCAATATCTGTCGTTTTAAGCCCCTTGTAATTCTTCACTCTTACAATCTGAATCGGAATTTCTCCAACCGTTGATAGAACATAGACCCAGGAAAATCGATTAATCGAACGATCGCATGAACGCGTTAAAATAGTCACCGTAGCGACATCTCTAAGGGTAAAAAGGAAACGTGACTGCTAGTATCCAGACACGTCGTGTGAGTCTCGTGGGTTCGTGCCGAAACACTGGAACTAATGCAAACGCACAGCGACGATGGTTCTATGTGAAATGGCGTACGATACCATTTCACGTAAAACCATCGCCGCCGTTGTATGTTATCTTAGTCGAACAGTTTCGGCAAAGATCGATGAGACTCGGTGTACGAGGCAATGGTGAGAGACAAGCTGCTTTTCGAAAGATCTAGTCGGTCGTTCAATCGAATTCACTCGTTCGGAATGAGTGTCGAAATTATGGAAGTGAAGTCGATGGGGATTGGTGAGGATCGACTAATCGATCATATCAGATGTATCGATACCGTGCTAACGAAGAAATAAATACAATGCCAGTGTGACGACGTGGCTAATGAAAGTTCAGCTTGAATTCGCGTGTGTCTATCCGTTTTGCATTCAGCCAAACAAATTGTGCATAACGAGTTATGTATAATGCCCTGTCAAACATTCGCATGTTTTAGTTGAAAGTTGAAAACGAAACTTGCGTAAAGAGAATCTCAACAACCATTCTACGACCATGTGTTCTAACATGTTTAACATCTCGAGTGAAATCCCATCGGAGAGTCTCGATACATTCCGTCCATCAATTTCAAATGAAGCAATATAACAATCGTTTATGCGAAACATTTATTTCAAATACCCGCCGATTCGCTCTCGCCACCACGTTAGCGTTTGCAAAACGTTCCGAGGAACGAATCGCCGTTCGAGTTGCCGAATGATATAACAATCATGTAGGTGAAGAAATATCCAATCTGGAGGAAATAAACGGGTAGTAAAACAAACGTCATGCATCAGCGACTACATCTCCGTAGTCGTCCTTTGCGAACCCTTGTTCTAGGATTGCTCGGCTTGTCTTTGTACGCGTATTATCGTAACACTTATTACGGTGCCTCGCAATATACCGTACCACGAAATGTTAGTGAGTATTGTTGTGATATGAAATTAATTATCGGTGTCAAGTTATCGCCGTCGCGGTGCTCGTTATCGTCGTGATGTACGGCGATGATGATATCGTGATAATCATGATCGTGATCATGATCGTGATTGTGACGATGATAAAATATTCTATTTTGTTTAGGTCAACCACCGTTTCAAGAGGTTTATAAACAATCGAATACAAGCATAGAGCACCACGTAGCGGTTTCCTCCAGCAGAAGTAATTCTCCAGAACCATCTGTCGTTGGTGCTTACAACTCGCAAAATTCTACCAATCTTTCCAGTTCTGTGATCACAGTGCAGTCCACATCTTCTAGCTCCTCTCAAACTTTGTCTTCTGCGAACGTGTCCGTTGCTGTCTCCAAGCAAAGCAGCGAAAAGCCTTTGAACGAGACTAAAGAAGTCTCTGCACCGGTCAATGAGTACTCTGCTCGTGCTATTTATGAAGCTGGTCATATGGTACCCATTCCGGAAAAATGCCCAAACTTTGGCAAAGAAATGGATCTGGTTATAATAATAATGTCTGCTCCAACCCACCTAGAAGCTAGGATGGCAATACGACAAACATGGGGTCATTTTGGTCAGCGAAGCGACATCAGTATCTTATTCATGTTAGGTGCAACTCTGGACTCAAAAGTAGAAACGATTTTGAAGAAAGAACAAAAGACTTACAACGACGTGATACGCGGAAAATTTTTAGATTCTTACTCAAACTTGACGCTTAAAACGATCTCTACCCTCGAGTGGGTAGATAATTATTGTTCCAAGGTTAAATTCCTTTTAAAGACTGACGACGACATGTTTATTAACGTTCCGCGTTTGCAAGCTTTTACGGTTAAACATGCTAAAGATAGGAACGTAATATTTGGTAGATTAGCTAAGAAATGGAAACCAATTAGAAATAAAAAGAGCAAGTACTACGTCTCTCAAGCGCAATTTAAGAATGCCGTCTTTCCAGATTTCACTACCGGTCCGGCGTATCTTTTGTCCAGCGATATCGTGCGTAAACTGTACGGTGCTGCGTTAGACCAAATATACCTCAAACTGGAAGACGTTTTTGTTACTGGTATAGTCGCGGACAAACTAGGAATCACAAGGACGCATGCTAACGAATTTTTAAATAAGAAAATATCGCATAGCGCGTGTAACGTTCAACGAAGTATCAGCATCCATATGGTCAAATATAGCGAACAATTTGATCTTTGGAAAAAATTACTCGACGGCAAGAGCGAATGCAAATGATAGACAACACCTATTATCGATAGGTGCTCGAGATTTTCAAATCGCACGGCAAATTATTTGTCGCTCGGCTCGTACACGATCCATACTGCCTTCAATATCGTCGTCGTCGTACGTTTGTCGTTCGACTATCGATCGAGGTACATTCTCTGATTATACTCAGTTCTATAGGTTCAGCTAATTGTAAGATTTACTTCTGCATTCGAATACGCAGTTTGTGGATAAATTGCGCTCTGACTTGCGTTCATTCCAACACTCTTC